ACGGGAATTAAAAAACCTAGCAATAGAAAATAAAATTGTGAGAAAGTATTAATGAAGAGTAAAAAAATAGTCAAAAGAGGAGAGATTTATCTATGGCGGAAATAATTATACACAATTAGGGATGAAAAAAAATAATTGTCTGTGGTATTTGTAAAACTATGTTAATAATTTGGGGGGAACACCAGGTTCCTCTTATAAACTCATGTTTTATAATTGTCACACTTTTTTTCTATGATTAACCAAAAAACTATTACGGCATTAGTAACGGCACCTATTACTCAAAACATTGCTCTCATTAGAATTTCAGGTAGTAAAACCTATTCGATTATTACCAAAATTTTTGATCGCCCATTACCAGAATATCCCCAAAAAAGACCTCAACTAATTTTCGGCAAAATTGTCAATTCTCGCCGAGAAATTATTGATGAAGTATTATTGCTTTGTTTTTACAAGCCGCATTCTTTTACAGGGGAGGATGTGGTAGAAATTAGTTGTCATGGCAATTTATTCGTGGTCCAACAAATATTACAATTGATTCTCGAAAATGGGGCAGAATTAGCCGAAAAAGGCGAATTTACTAAACAAGCCTTTTTTAATGGCAAACTGAATTTGGTCCAGGCCCAAGCCATTAATGATTTAATTCGTGCCCCTAGCCTTCAAGGAGCCAAGTTGGCCCTCCACAATTTAAGCCCCGAAAGTCAAAAAGAATTGAAAATAATTGAAAATGAATTATTAGACATTATCGCTACCATCAAAGTAAATATTGATTACCCCGAATATGACGGGGCGGAGTATTTGACCGGTCAACAAGTTTTGCCGCGGATAAATAAATTAGTTGAAAAATTACAAATTATCCAAAAAACCGGGCAAAAAACCCGGGTCTACCAGGAAGGATTAAAAGTGGCTATCGTAGGAAAGCCTAACGTGGGCAAATCCACCCTTTTGAATGCTCTGCTCCAAGAGGAAAAAGCCATCGTTTCTCCGTTGGCAGGAACCACTCGAGATATAATTGAGGCTCGTTATAACCTGAATGGAATCCCTCTAATTTTACTGGATACTGCCGGCATTCGCGAAACTGCCGACCTAGTGGAAAAAATTGGAGTTGAACGCACTTGGCAAGCCCTCGGTCAAGCCGAAATCATTCTTTTTTTGGTGGATAATTCCTGCTCGTGAGGTCCAGCAGAAGAAAATATTTTTTCTCACATTAGAGACAAAAATTATTTAATTATTATTAACAAAATAGACCAAGAATGTAAATTACAATTGCCGAACTTCATTTTGCCGGACAAGATTTGCCGAATTAGTGCCAAAAATCAGCAATTAGCCGAATTAGAAGCCAAAATTAATCAATCATTTGCTAATGATTTAGTAAATAAAATCCCCCCCTATCCCTATTTAAGCCACAGTTGACAGCAAGCCAAATTAACTAGTCTCATCCAGCAATTACAGTCCGTAATTAATGAACTAAAAAAAGGAACTTATTTAGACGCTTTGTGTGGAGATTTAGAAATCGGTTATAAATTAGTCCAAGAATTAAGTGGCAAAGAATATGAAGGTGAATTATTGGACATTATTTTTAGTAAATTTTGCTTGGGAAAGTAAACCAATCGTAGGTTAGAAAAGACCATAAAGCGATTCATTTTTTAGAAAAAACTTAACCAAATTTCTCTTGTAATTATAAAGTAAAATAAACAGAAGTTTTTTGGAAATTTACTCTAATTATCCACCTATCTCAATTCAATTTAATCAGTCATTTTTAATTCCCCACCACACTTTTTATCTATATCTTAATTTTATATATAATGTTTTCTGAATAGTAATCTTTATAAAATTATAACATATATGACATGGCTAAGAAATTACTCTTTAAACAATCAGCAAGAGAGAGAGAGAGAGAGAGAGAGAGAGAGAGAGAGAG